TCACATAAGAAAAACTCTTCAACTACTTCTAATATCTTGGTAGTAACATTAAATGCTTCCTACCAACTTAACTATCTTTGTTTCGTTCTTTAATTCTTCCTAACTTTGCAATTTCTTCGGAATCTTATGTAAAGCCACAATTTCCCTCACTATTATGTGTATACTAATTACAGTCCACTCACTAAGTTGTTTACCTCATGACGTAACTGTGTAATCGTCATTCAGTTTCTTTCACCTACGTATTATTATTGTTTCCTTTAATTCCTAGAGGAACATAGGGCTTCAGCCGAACGTCTCCAATGCGTTCGGTTCTCTACTAACGCTTCCACTTGGACCCACTGCCGCCCACAGGCTTTCATCTCCACTTCACATGATCCCCTCCTCCATGTCACCCTCGCGCTGACGACTAACTGGCCACTTCCCGTTCAGATTCCGCTCGAACGATGGCCTGACGTGTGATGTCACTCACCGGATAGTTTGTTTTCTCAGAGTATAGCAACCAATACACCTCCATTTATTCCGGCAGATTTGTTGCACAATCGATTCCTGGTTGGTTCGTTCATTGCTTGAGATTCCTGTTGCGTTTCTTTTCTGTACTGACTAATATTTTCTATGATTGTGACAACTAATCACTTCTGTTAATATCTTATTTTACAAAAAAAAATTGCAGATAAATGCAATCGTACGGGTATGTAAGATGAATTCACTGAAAAGACCCTCTTCTTTGAACTATTCGTTGTGTTTTTCTTCATAAATATTATAGAGGACTACTTGCGTTCTTAATGTATTGAAAGAGAACAATCACTCATCAGAATTAAACTCTAAAGACTTCCAGATGTACGTGTCGTAGCAAGTATACTAGAATGGATGTGCACTTGATTCATTGAAAATATTCACAAACACCTACAAATCAAAGGTTTCTAGCCCTAGGTTAGTTCAAATTCGCTCAACTTACAACCAATTGATGATACAAAATGGATGCTTTGACTTCATTTAAGATTATTAAAAGGCAAAGAAATTGTATTTTACTTTTGTTGTTCTGAATCGATTTGCTATTAAATGACTTTTCGCTAGAATAGGCGAAAATTGTAGAACATATTAATATAATATTGTATTCTGTTTTCCTTTATTTTGGCTTTTTATTTATCCACTGGTCTTATCTGGACATTAGTGGTTCAGTAGAGGGAAACTGTTCAACCACGCACGTGTTCAGGATTCGATTCCTAACCGATGAACTTGCAAACTTCGTGTAGCCAACAGTAAAACTCAGTAAAGAGGGAAGGTTGGGCTTGAGGCTAGCAACTCTACCCATTAAAAAAACCTCACTACTGCTGGTGAAACTTCAAGAATCAAGCTTCAAGTCCTTTATTCCCATTCGGAATGCAAAGAAGTGATCGCAGCTCACTTATTCAATTGGAAATCACTTCTAAATACCTTTCTCACAGTCATTCTCTGTATATTTGCTGAATAAATAATGTTTTGAAGAGAGAAGACAGATTTCGCGAGATGATATCGTCATTTTGTTGTTTCTCTACAATCGCTTTGCAATTAATAGGGTTCACAATAATTAAATAGAGTAAAATGAATGACAATTACTCAGTTGTTATATAAACAGAAGTACTTACTAATGACCAATCGTATTTTTAAGTAGGTCAAGTAGTCCATGATAGCCAATGGAGGACTGAAGTCTATTATTTTCTGTACACATCGTTTAGATGTATGTATGCAAGTAAAAAGCAACAAGTTGGCAGAAGAAGCACCAAAGATAGGACTTTTGTTGCACATAAAGAAACCGGAGATGATTAGGATTTCTGGCCAACAGCAACAACAACAGAAAACAGTCATCATAAATGGGAGAAATCTGAAAGGAAAAACCTCCTTTACCTACTTAACTACCTTCCTATTTACCTGGGAAGCAAGCATCATTTCAACTACAGGTGGACGGAACTGACGGGGATATAAAAGCAAGGATCGGAAAGCAAGGGAAGCTTTCATTTCTCTCAAGTCTGTGTGGAGGCCAACAGCACTCAACATGTGAAGTCAGTGCCAATTACTATACGGATCAGAGACTTGGCGCGTCATGAAGAGCACCTCAAGTAAACTACAGACCTTCATCAACAGCTGTCATCGCTTAGTACTACTCAAGATCAGATGACTAGTCAGAAAAAATCAGCAACATGGATCTCTGGCGATGAGCGAACCAACTCAGTAGGAAAGAACTGTAAAACAAATATGGAGGAAGAAATGGACGTGGATTGGTGGCGATACTCTGAGAAACCAAACTACCAAGTGAGTGACATCATACACCAGGCCATGGCTGAGTGAAAGTCGAGTGGGAAGCAGCCAGTCAGTTGGTCATCATGGAGATGTTCAGCTGAAGCCCTACGTTGCTCTAGGAAGTAAAGGAAACAATAAAAAAATAGTATGTGACTAATCCAAAGTACTTCCATCACCTTCAATAACAAACCTCGAATTAGAGTTATGTAATGAAATAATTGTGAATCAGTCATTCATTAATATTGCTTTTGTGACCTGACATTAATAAGTGCTTTGCAATGGATGGTGATGATGAATTTCTATTCAGATTAGTAATTGCATTCCGATTTTCTATGTGTCTTAATAATCATTTTGCAACATTTTCTTTTCGACCACACGACATTGGAACATTCTATTGGTTCTACCTATATATGTGTAGGTGTTCACCACAACTGTCAGTGAACTTTTAGATACAGTGTGAATGAAGTAGAGTCTACAGACTTTCGTCCTTTCATCGTAGGTACAGGGATCAAAAATGTTCAGCATATGAGAAAAAGAGATGCGGCGTAGAATGTGCGTTTGATGGCTGACCGAAGTGTCTTTGAGCTAGCTGTCAACTGCATAATCTAATCGCCCTTAAATGGTAGGTTTATATAGATAGCTTTCTTTGGTACAGAAGTTGCCTTTACGAGATGTGGTTTTTCTTTACTGTGACAAGTGACAAAGTTCTCCGGATAACCATTAGCTAACAAAACTGAATATATATGTCGAAACTCATCCATCAATGTGACACTCGTGCATATTTTTCGGGCCCTTGAGAATAAACATTTCACTAGGGAACGTTTATACTGGATAGGAACAAAACTGGTAAAATGAAGATATTGTGCACTCCATGTCTGTTCACGAAAAACAGATTGCTGAATCGTTCCATCATCTCTCCTAGTCATTGTAATACCCAGGAAACCGAGTTTGTTATTCGATTCTAGTTCGGAAGTCACTCGAATATTTGGATGCATATGATTAAATAGGGTAATAAAGTTTTCAATAGATTTACTATTATTCCCAATAATAAGAGTATCATCTACATAACGTTTATACAGCCGGGTAAGGAGTGCACGTTTGTTATGCTAGCACTGATGAAGAATCCTCTAGCAACAGAAAAGTGCTATCCAGCTCTGCCTGGATTTGAGTGGCTCTCTAACTGATATGGGTTTGTGACACTGGCTACCTTGAAAACAATTAAATCCTTAGAAACACAGTATTTGAATAGATAGTGGACGGTATTCATGAACTGTTGTGGGGTTGGATAAATAAATTACCTTAAAAGTCTGGTTTAATCATGACAAATAACTTTCTATTGTACAGTTTTTAAGAAAACGCTCTTAGTCCTGGGTTGTGTTTTTGTCTGCAGCCAATCAACTCAAAACTGCACTGCAATTACAAGCCACCTAGCTTGGTGACAGCATTACAGACTTGAATGACTGACAAATGACATTAATTCAAGCTTATTAACTAATCAATATATATATATATATATTGATCAAGTACAATCAGATGGGAAATAAGACAAGTGTTTTTATAGTCATGCTAAGTAACTTGTTAGAATGCTGTGATGTACGTCAATTGAACTGAAATAGAATTTCGAAATTATTTATTATCCTCCTTTGATTTGACTGGTGGTACATGTCCCGTATATGTTTCTGGTATATTCATGCAACAGAAATGAATCAACGCAAAACCTAAGAAGTAATCTATGTAGGCGGAGGGTGATAGAGATTGATTACTGAATCCTGGTTCATTGAGTCTACACCCAACACATGCAACAGAAAAGATTGAATGCAAATACCAGAGATGGATGTATGGAAGATATTATTACCACCAGTCAAATCAGGGAGGATAATAAATAATCTTAAAATTCTATTTCAATTCAAACACATCACAACATTCTAACAAGTTACTTATCATTATGACTATAAAAACACTCGTCTTATTTCCCATCTGATTGTATTTGATTGATAATACTGATATTATTATTTCTGTATGTACATTATCCCATTCTGATTTTTATTCAAATGTCTAACCATCAATTTCACTAATGTATATAAACGAAGCAAGAAAGTTGTGTGAGTTAGTGACTTGATACGATTATGAGTGGCAATAATCTGAGCTCGAAACGTGGTCATCAGTTAATATTACTATATAACACCACTGTGTGATTAATTGGAAATTGCCTATTTTCTAAAATTAATAATTAATTGATTCACTAATAAGGATTCACATATGTTAAATTCAATTTTGAGAAAATTTCATGGATAAATACTGTGGAGTACAAGAGTGGATTGTGCATTAGTGGTCCAAAGCTAGAATGCCTGCCAATCATGCTATTAGTCAAGGTTCAACTTTCATTCGATGCACTGCTAAACCTCGTCTAGCCGGCAGTAAGCCTGGAAAAGAGGGTGAGCGTTGGTCGTGAGACTAGCAGCTTCAACCTGTACAAACAAAAGACAGATGCTACTGAAAAAACACTTAAAAACTGGTTCAATTTTTTGTGCTATTAATGTTTGAATGACGTCTAGTTAAATTCCTTAGCGTAACAATAAGCTCAGCCTGTAGAAGGTGGTTTTTTTATTGAATTGAATTGAAGCGCCAAATTTCAAAAAACCAAGACAGGATATAACTTAGTACACGTTCTAGATGCATAGAGAGATATGCAGCATCAAAATCACATATGAATTTTGGCTTACCTTCATTGTGAATCTGGTTATTTGTTTGCTTGTGGTGACATAAGGTACGGCTATGCTAACAATGCAGCACAACATACAATCAAAAAGACCTGTAAAATGAAAGTAAAAATAACTTAATTACTATTATTTTACAAGTGATTTCAATAAACAACTTGTGGTGGCGTGGTACAGACAACGTGTTCCAACCGTCTATGATTCTCACATATTCCCACAGTTCACTACAGTATTAGCAACAAAATACTCTCTGTGTGTATTTGAACGTTCTATTTCATGTTGTTTAATGTAAGCCAGAATCACTTGCGCAATGATAGGTTAGAGAATATAAAACCGTATCTATATAGATAGCGGTTTGATCAGTTGAAAATATACCTTGGCTTTTGTGTCTTGACTTCTGCTGTTACATGTGGTGTCACTGCCTGCCGATAGATGAATAAACCTATGGCCTGTAGTTTTCGAGGAAGAAGACATATTGATCTTTTTGCAGGACTTCCAGGCCGTTGCAGAGATGAATGGCTTTCAAGATCCGTCGGCGAAGACGCTTTTACTTGGAACGCTGCTGAGAGGTCGGGTGAAGGCAGTATACGACAGTGTAGGGCAAAACACTGGGTCATGCAGACTGCTTCCAAGGTGAGAAGCACCATACACGGTCACTGAGAGACAGGGTCACATATACATATATATCAGAAATGCAGGTGGATGGACGTCAGAGAGCTCCGGAACTGAATACAACAAGGCAAGCGAACAAAGACGCCAGTCCCAAGAAGATCAGACCACCTTCAGTTGAAAGTATTTGATGGGTTCCAACGGAATATGTCTTCTGATTTTACTTTTAATAATACACGCTAATGAACTGATCATCATTTTTCATTTTTACGCTAGTTACTTTTACTGTCAAGAGAGGGGGAGGGGAGGGAAATAACGATTACTGAAATGTACGTACATTCAGCTGACACAGTTCTAGAGATTTTGTGCTATTCACTACAATATGTGTGCGTTGATAGTACAAAGATTAGGACGCTCGCCGACTACGCGCATTGTCCGGGGTTCGATACCCAACCGACGCACACCTGATATCAGTGGCTGGTCCCATAGTTTTACCAAAATACTTCGTGGAATTAAGCTATAGTTAAAAAATATACGTATCCTAAAGGACATATTCGAAGCTTTTTGGGGAACTGACAGACACAGAGGTACACTTTTCTGGAAGCACAGATTTCAGAATTACTTCTAGATTATTGATTTTTTCTTAGAAATTTAAACATTCAAGAGAATTAATCACATAAGTGGTTCAGCGGTAGAATGTCCACTGACCAGGTGCGTATTCTAACGCTCAATCCCTGACCGACTCATTTCTAAATCTCGCCTTGTCACTAGTAAGATCTGTGAAAAGGAAAGATAGGGCGTGAGGCTAGGAGATCCACTCTATAAAAACAAACGGAATAACACCGTTAATAATGAAACTACACCGCTTAAAGGTCTTTGTTCGACTCGAAATGGTAAGGAATAAAATGAAAATATATATCAAACAGGCAATAAATATCTCATGTTTTCATGGTAAGTCTAAAATCTCTTCTAGGAGCATTTGTTTTCATTCGGAGATGGTTTATTTCCAGTAGAGATTGAACTTCTGAAGATTCTAGTGGTTGCGTAAGCATTAGAAGTCAGAATTACTTTGAAGTAGGTACAATTTGTTCACAACCAAATGTTCTTAGTCCCATTAAGGTCTTGTGAAGCCTGTAGAGCGTTATCTAACAGATCTCTCACCTTACAGCAACTGATCACTGGGGAATAATCAGGGTCATCAGCGGACTAGAGTCTGTTGTCTTGATGTAGACTGAATTCTATTAGTCAAGTTTATAAAGTGGTCAGCAAACTGAGTGACTTCCTTTCATGATTTGCTTTGAATTGGTGTTCTGTGGTTAGAGGCAGCCACGGAAGCCAGGAAGCCCTAGACCAAAATACCCACTGAGGTAGGGGCGATAGTGTGATGTCACTGACTTCAGAGTTATGCAATAAAATAAACCCATATATGTAATGAATCGGTCCGACTCGGCGCTCAAATTATTCCAGGAATTTCGTAACATCTACGGTTTGGCAACTTATAAAACCCATAAATGATTTGAAACCTGAATTAGAAGGAAAACTTTTGAAAATAAAGGAGGATTGAAAAGCTTTGGCCCCCTAATATGACAAGTAACAGTTCTCATACATTATCTTGTGGATCTCAGAGGTTATAACATTTTCATAAATTTTTGATTATAGCTTGATTCCACACCGTATTTTTGGTAAAAGTATGGAATTTTCAGCTTGTGATATCGATAGCCCAAATTTAGCAGGCCGACAAGTGATATCAGGTGTGCGTCAGCGGCGGATCGAATCCCGAACAATATCCATGGCCGGTGAGAGTGATAACCTCTGTGCCATCGATACACCTCATAAAAGAGACAGGGAAGGGATTGAATTAGGTCGTGAACCGATAAGTGTCTTGAGCATGCTGGAAGGTTTGAAGATAATGAATTAAATACTACATAGTGTGGTGACAAATTGAAAGTATTGACAACTGGCAAATACATATGGATTTTCAAAGCTTTTATAAGTACTGTTAATGATTATTATTATTGTTCCCTTGGGTTCATAGCGAAACATAGGGTATCAATTTCACCTTTCCACTTGCTTCTGTCTTTTGGTGTACTTTTCACGTACATCCATGTTAGTCCATACTCTTTCAACTCCTCTTCACACGATCTCCTCTATGCCACCCTTGGACGTCCCACTCGCCACTTCCCTTTCGGGTTCCACTCGAGTGATGGTCTGACGCGCGATGTCACCCAGCGGCCCCCTCCATCTCTACTTTCTACTGCATATTTGTTGGGCGATCGGCTCTCGTCTGTTGGTTTGTTCCCATAGTTCCTTGTTGGTGATTCTTTCCGGCCATCTGATCTTCAGTATAGAGCCAGCGAAGACAGTTTTTGGTTGATAAAGGTCTGCAACAGGCTGTTGGAAATATTCTTTGTGACCCGACAGCTGAGTTTCAGATCCGTATAGAAGAACTGACTGACTTGACTTTGTTTGTATTGAAAATCCGACCGAATTTTGTTGTTGATGCTGAGTGACGAAGATTTCCAAATTGGTTTAAGGTTGATGAATGTGTTTCTCGCCTTCCTGATTCTCGCTCGATTTGACATCCTCGTCCGTTCCGACTGCGTGCAGTTGAGACAATGCTCCCTAGATAAGTGAAGTACTGTTAATGCTTGATGAAGTTTGGCATAACTGTTTTTGAAGGAGTCAGACATTAGGGCGTATAGAACCCTAGTTTGTTTGGAGTGTGAATATTTATCATCAAAAACACTCCGGTCCCGAAGACACTCACGGTCAGACACTTCACTAAAAAAAAATCACCGAAGTTATCAGTGTCTCCTAAGTTGGATTATTATTATTTTTATTGTATCCTTTAGTTCCTAGAGGAACATAGGGCTTCAGCTGCGCACCTCCATTGCCTTCGGTTTTCTGACAACTTTTTCACCCTGCTCCAGGTCTGTCCACATGCTTTCATCTCTTCCTCGCATGACCTCCTCCAATTCACCGTTGGACGACCAACTCGCCGCCTCCCTTTCGGGTTCCACTCCAGGGCTTGTCTAGTGATGTCACTTGGTGGTTTCCTCAGCGTATGGCCAATCTATCTCCATTTCTTTCTGCCTATTTGTTTCACAATCGGTTCCTGATTGGTTCGCTCCCAGAGATCCCTGTTGCTGATCTTTTCTGGCCATCTGATCTTGAGTATTGAGCGAAGACAGATGTTGATGAAGGTCTGTTGTTTGTTTGAGATGCTCTTTATGACGCGCCAAGTCTCTCATCCTTATAGTAGCACTGACTTCACATTGGAGTTGAAAATCCGGATCTTATTTTTGATGGTGAGTGCTGTTGACCTCCACACAGATTTGAGAGTAATGAAAGCTTGTCTTGCTTTTCCGATTCTGGCTTTGATATCCTCGTCAGTTCCGCCTGTAGTTGAGACGATGCTTCCCAGGTAGGTGAAGGAGGTTGTTTCTTTCAGGTTCTTCCCACTTATGCTGATTGTTGTCTGTTGTTGTTGTTGTTGTTGATGTTGGCTAGGAATCTTCATCATCTCTGTTTTATCTATGTTCACGTGAAGTCCTATCTTTGATGCTTCTTCTGCCAACTTGTTACTTTTCACTTGCATATCTTCCAGTTTGTGGGAAATCAGACATATATCATCGGCGAAATCCAGATCCTCCAAGTCTTTTGTGTCAGTCCATTTTATGCCTGTTCCCTCGTTGGTTGCCGTTGTCTGTCGCATTATCCAATCAATTGCAATCAGGAAGATCATTGGCGATAATAGACAGCCTTGCCTCACTCCCGTCCTCACTTCGAAGGCTTCCGTAAGTTTCCCGTTTTGGATTACTTGGCATGCAGCATTGTCGTATAACTGTTGGATGAGATGTATAATTGTCGATGAGACCCTGTAATAGCGAAGTAGTTTCCAAATGACCTCTCGATCGACGCTGTCTAAGGCCTTTTCAAAGTCGATGAAGTTGAGTGAGAAAGGTGACGTCCATTCCAAGCTTTGTTCAATGATGATCCGTAGAGTGGCGATTTGATCAATACATGGTTTGTTTCTCCTGAATCCGGCCTGTTCCGGACGAAGTTTTTCATCTAGGGCTTGTTTGATTCTCTCCAGGATGATGCGACTTAGTATCTTGCTTGGAATGGACAGAAGCATAATTCCACGCCAGTTTTTACATTGACTTTAGTCTCCTTTCTTTGGAAGTTTGAATAGGTATCCGTTCTTCCAATCCTCGGGTACTTTGCCCTCTTTCCACACCTTCTCCAGCAGTGGTGTCATCAAGTCCGCTGTTGTCTCTGGGTCTATTTTCAAAGCTTCTGCTGGGATTCCATCTGGTCCCGGTGTTTTCCCAGCTTTAAGCATCTTGATTGCATTCAGGACTTCTGATTTCGTCGGGGGGTCAGTGTTCACTGGTAGTTCTGCTTCCGTTGTTGGTATTGTTGGGCGCGTTGTAGGTGGCGGACGATTTAGAAGTCTTTTGAAGTGTTCAGCCCAGTGCTTTCTCTGTTCCACCTCTTTGGTGATTGACTTTCCATTGTCATCCTTTATTGGCTTAATCTGTGTCGAACGTTTGCCCGAAGGGTTCCTAGTTGTTTGGTAGAGTGTGGCGAGGTCTCCTTTGCCTGCAGCTTGTTCTGCTTCGTTTGCCATGGTTTCATAATATTTTCTTTTGTCTTCCCTGGCACTCCTCTTCACTCTTTTGTTCAGTGCATTGTAGCTTGCATTCAGCTCCTGTTTTTGTTGCTCGTCAGTGCACTGGATAATCTTTTGTTTCACTATCCTTCTCTCTTCTATTAGTTTCCAAGTGTCCGTAGTGAGCCACTGTTTGTCTTGTCTCTTTTTTCTGCCTAGAATTTCTATGCAGGTTTGGCTCCACACCGTTTTCAAGTTGTTCCAGTGCTTTTCGACGCTGACCTTTTCGCTGGTGTTGATTTGTATCTCAGCTTTGTCCTTTATGCTTGCAATGAAGATGCCCTTTGTAGCCTGGTCCTTCAGCTTTTGAGTGTTGAACTTGGCTTGTGGTCTATCTGCAGCTCCTGATTCCCTGAAAGCTTTTAATTTGATTTCGATTGTCCCTTGTACGAGATAGTGGTCTGAGCCAACGTCTGCCACAATTCTGAATAAGAAAAACTACAGAGGCTGGACCTCGGATGAACAAAGAGAAGACAAAGGTGGTGAAGAAACCAAACCAGGAATAACAATAACAACAGGCAGCAGACTCCACCGAATGGAGGAATCACCTGCGGAGGATTATTTCGGCTATAGGCAGTTGCACGGATGAGGATGCCAAAGCCACAACCCGGAAAGCAAGACAAACCTTCATTTGTCTGAAGTCAGTGTGAACATTTACTCCACTAAACACCGGGAGCAAGATCCCAATGCGAAACACTAATGTAATGTTAGTCGATGTTTCGGTGTGTTTTGGAGACAAGTTTGAAGTGGGTCCAAGAGTGACAGGAAGAAGCTGGTGTATGAAAGGGATGATTGCTTACGGGCACTGGAGAAGTCAACTCGAAAGAAGTGAGAAGAACAGATTGAAATAGAGAAATAAAATAATTATATATCTAATAAAACTATAGTAAAGTATTGGTTTTGTAAGGATTTTTTTGATTGCATGAAGGATTTCATCATGAGCTGACATCACTAAGAGAGCCATTGGAAAACCAGGGAGTACTGGACAGCTGATTCGTCCTAGTTTGGGACTTCTCAGAAGTACGCACCCACCACAGATGTTCAAACCCAGGACCTTCTGGTTACAAGGCGAGCTTGTAGGCCATTGAGCCACTGGGACCCAATCCAGTAGTCCTTGAATTCTAGCTTCTGCCAATTCACGACATACCGCGACCATTTCGCAATGTCTTCTTCGATGAATTACTGCCTCATCTTCAACCTGCTGTAAAAAACGTAGGCCCTGGGTTCGAACCCCGGTGGGTGCGTATTGCTGGTGAGTCCAAAACTAGGACGAAACAGCTGTCCAGTATTCCCAGGTTTTCCAGTGGCTCTCTTACTGATGTCAGCTCATGATGAAATCCTCCATGCAATCAAAACTATAGTCATTCACATTTAGTTGACTTTCATGGATTATAATGACAAATTAATGGAATGCGAGATACAATCAAAATGCTTTTCAAATTAAAGAATTTATGGGAATTTGTGATTTACTACATTTATCAGAAACCGACATCAGGGAGTACTAGACAACTTTTTCGTCCTAGTTTACGACTCTTCATCAGTGCGGAACCACATAGTAAAACACTGCATCTACCAGATATAATGCAGACGATTTGTAGCTCAAGTGAGTGATTTTTATGTAGTCGTGTTCTCTGAGCAGCTGAGTGGTTTATTTGCGAAGCTTCCATTGTCCTACTAGACAACATCTTCAGCGCTTTTAGATTTCTCTTTGGGTGTACGTGTCATCTCTCCTGGCGACTTGGGACGTGATTGGTTTTTTTGTGTGTTTTTACACCTTCTAGAATATGTGCTGAAGGTCTCGCTCAATAGTGCACTGAAACTGCCTCGTCCTATTATGTGACTCCTTATCAGTGTGTAACCACGATCCTACCAGGGATCGAACCTGGAACCTCAAGGTTACGAGATTAAGCCCGTTCCCCATTCAGCCAGTTGGGGTAGGATTCAATGACCCCCGAATTCTAGCACTGTTTACTCATGATATAGGGCTGACCTTACCAGTGGCTTAGATGAGAATTCACTTTTTCTTGACAAGGCTGACCCCACTTTAGCCCCAGTAAGGCCATCAAGTAGCCATCATTTGGCTGGAAACTTATTTTATGGCCATATGATTCATGGTTAATTTGGATTCATTACAAGTAGCTGAATAGTCATCTCATTCGATCTCATGACCTAGATCCCCGGCGGGGTTGTGGATGCCCACTGATAAGGAGTCCGAACACTAAGACGGAAAAACTATCCATTGCTCCCTGGTGTTTAATAATCTCTCTAACTAACGTTGATTTATGACCAAAACTGAACAATTTTAAAATGCTTTTCATCTTTCAACCTACCTCGAAAATAATTAATACGATAGTTACATAGCATACTACATCTAAATACTTCAAGATGTATTGTTCAAATTTCTCCTTACAACCATCCTGAATGTAACTGTTATCTTTAGTGAATGATTTAGGACAAGATTGATCTTCAAGGGCGAAACTCTCCGTCATTTTGCAGCACGGTATAGGATACTTCAAATCTGAAAGAAAAATATTGACAAGAAATGAATAAATGCAACCACATTTCCAGATCATCATAATTTCAAATATATCGATTATGATAATTAGAGGATACGAATATAAGCAATTATAAGTTTGTTTTCTTATGGTAATTTCTCATCAGGTCTTGAAATTCCATAAAAACATGAATTACAGATATCTGAGAGCAATGTGGGATGACAGAATTAAAGCTTTTCTTTCCTTCACGTTCCCAGTGGAACATAGGGCCTCAAGCTAGTGGCTGGAAGTTTCTGTATTAATTTTACAGGATTGGGTTGCTACCCGCATGCCCAGACTTCCCTCTTTGCCAGAATTATTTCTGGTTTAGTGAGGTAAAGGAGTGCGTCGGCCGGGATAAAACCCTGGAAGGCGGTCAAAATAAAAATAATAAGTCTCAAAAGGTCGTTTGTTTCAAGTTTGGTCACGGAGAGGAGTTAGTCAGAGAAGCATTGAAAACCAAGGGGTACCAGACAGCAGTTTTGCGACTTTAGAGAATTAGAACAATTAGCCCCTTTGATAAATTTGAACATCAGCGAGATACTCAACAAAGCGTTTTAGAAATGCGGTAAAGCGAAGAGCATTCCCCGCTGCTGCCGCTGCTGAATTACGCTGTGTCTTCAAAACCACTCCTCTTTTGCGTTCGAGAGTAAAAGATAAAGTGCCTAATTCCGCCTCTTCCATGTGTATCTACCAATTTAACTGCTCCTGTGGAGTGAGCCAGTTAGCTGAATAGGCCGCACAATTAGGCGTGTTTCTCGTCGAATTTCCGAACATCGCCCAGCAAAGTGGTTAAGTAAAGGATAAACAAAATTTATTCGCAGCGCTATTCTGTCCCATCTTGTGGATACAGAACACAAGATTGATGTCCACCAGGCTTTCAGGTTCATTTACCGCATACCTACGAATCTCAATTTTGCCTTAAGAGTTCGACTACTAATTATCGCCTAGGCTGGCTGATGGGATACACATTAAGAGGCCTAATTTGTGCGTTGAAAAGAATTTAGTTCAGACATTATCCTTACCCGCTTGGCCATTTAGGTTTGAATGATCCTGAATTTTTGTGGAATTTTCCTAATTTTAGTTGATATTCTATTTGCTAATATATCTTTATTATTATTATTATAATTTAAACATCTTTAATGAAATGTGGTAATTCCATTGGTCTTACTTTACAAATCGATATTATTTAAACGAAAAACTAATATTGTTATTGACTACTATTCTAGAATATTCCATATATATATATATATATATCGAAAAGGATATTCATTGCTCGATTATTTTGTTCATTATAAATTTCAGTAAGGCATTAAGAAGAGGAAATTCGCTTGATGATATCGTCATTTCGTAGTTTCTTTACAACCGCTTTACAACTAGCATGGTTCACAATAATAAAATAGAATAAAATAAATGACAATTACTCAGTTGTTATATAAAACAGAAGTACATACTAATGACCAATCATATTTTTGAATAAGTCAAGTAGTCCATGGTAGGCAAGGGAAGATTGAAGTCTGTTGTTTTGACTGCACACACACAGTTTAAGATGTTTGTGATTAATCCGTCAAACTGCTTCCATCGCCTTCCATAACCGACCTTGAGTTAGAGTTATATGATGAAATAATTGCGAATCAGTCATTCATTAACATAGATCTTGTGACCTGACATTAATAAGTGCTTTGCAATTAATCATGATGATAGATTTCTATTTAAATTAATAATTCCATTGGGATTTCCTGTGTGGCTTAATAACCTGTCTGTCTGTCTGTCTGGATTCAACATAGAACTTGGCACCGAAGTGCAGCAGTTCGAGTTGCCACGTTCCAAATAGCACACAGAGGTAGACAAGAAGATGAGTGAAGAGAATTAATAGAGTTTGACAAGTATAAGAGTGAAACAGAATGGGTAATGGTAGAAAGGAATATGAAAGATTACAGAGACTGAATACATCTGCGCCATTGACAACGATTTTGAGCCATGTCACCTATTGTCTCCAGCCATTGATTCCTAGAGTCCCGAGGGCCCCAACCCGGGAGTCTGCATCTCCCTACCTGACTCAGTTTAACTGTCAAGGATTTCATGGATTGATGCCATGTTTTTGTTTGGCCACCACTGGCTCTTTTCCAACCTGAACCTATATCAGCTAGCAATGCCCGTCGGGGGAGGCGGTGGTTAGGCATGCGCAGCACGTGACCTAGCCATCTTAGTCTATGTAACTTTATAGCCTCGTCGATTGATTTTCCCTCTTTGCCCAACACTCTACGCCTAACGTCAACATTACTTATCTTGTGAAACCACCTAACGTGAGACAGAGATCGCAGACATCTATGATCGAAAGCAGTCAACCTTTTCATGTCTTCAACGCGTATTGGCCATGTTTCAGAGCCATAGAGAAGGACGGAGCGAACTGATGAGCAGTACACACGTCCCTTGGTTGATAACCGGATGTCACGCCTACGCCAGAGATGGTGTAAGTCAGCGAAAGCAGCTCGAGCTTTTCGGATCCGTGCTGAGATTTCATCGCCAATCAGTCCGTTGGTGCTAATACAACTTCCCAAGTAGGTGAAGTGGTCAACATGTTCTATCACTTCACTCCCTATCACTAAGTTAGGGGTTGACGTGGTCCAGTCCTGTAGCAGCATCTTACATTTTGCAGGGGCGAATCGCATGCCAAACATACGAAGATTGCTGCTCAAGGTGTTCAGAAGACTCTGCATTTTGTCAGCATCCTCCCCTAACAGGACTATGTCATCTGCATATTCTAAGTCCATAAGATTATTCCCTGGTAACAAGTCGATTCCTAAGTCACTACGTTCAGTTAAGGATACTTCCATTAGCATATCTATGATGAAGTTAAACAGAAATGGGGAAAGTGGACATCCCTGTCGGACACCACTGGTTGTTACCAATTCAGATGACAATTCCCCATAAGCCCTTACACGACTACGTGAGTTTGAATAGAGTGCCTTGATTAGTGCAATGTACTTTCTTGGCACTCCCTTCACAGTCAGACATTGCCATAGTACCTTTCGATCCACGGAGTCGAAGGCCGCCTTCAAGTCAAGAAATATGACAATTGTTGGACGCCGAAAAGTGTGTCTATGTTCTAGAATCTGTCGAAGAGTGAAGATATGATCTATGCACCCTCTACCTGGTCTAAAGCCTGCTTGATTTTCCCTTGTCTGTTCCTCCCGAGTTCTGCTTAGTCTATGCATGATTACTGAGCCTAGGATTTTAGAGACTATGTTCGTTAGGCTGATCCCCCTATGATTATCACACGAGGACTTGTTTCCCTTCTTGAATATCGGTATAATAAGTGACTTACCCCAGTCTGATGGTACTGTCTCTGATTCCCAGACTTTGCCTAGTACCTCAGTTAATCTACAAACTAGTATGTCACCCCCATATTTAAACACCTCCGGAATAATTCCGTCGGGTCCTGCCGCTTTGCCTCGTTTCAAATTACTGATAGCTTTTGTAACCTCACCTACAGACGGCGGACCAGTGTCTATATCCCATTCGGGTACGTGGTGGATGGCGGGGAGGTTCAGTGTGGCTGTAGGCAAGTTAAATTGTTCCTCAAAGTGTTCTTTCCAGCGTTCAAGGCGTCTATCCTGAGAGCTAATTAAGGAGCCATTTTTCTCAGAAATAGTCTCACTTATGAATTGCCTTCTCCCGCCCGATTCTGTGATGAGTCTAAAGAGTTGCCTAGTGTTGCCTATCGCCAATGCTTTTTCCATCTCTTTCGCCTTTGTCACCCACCACTGTTCACGGTCCTTGCGGAGACTTTTAGTAAGTTTCCTTTTGTGCAGCTTTCGCTCCTCATTGAATTCGGAGCTCGCCGGAATAAGTCTTCTAGCATCTATCAGTTCGGATGAGGCAGTCGAAATCCAGTGGTTTTTACTCACCTTTGGATTTGCCTTATTCACAGCTTTTACAGCTGTATCTATAGCTGACTGAATATTCTTCCAGGCTTCTCCAGGGTGAGCACAGCTGTCGAATTCAGATATGCGTTTAGCTAGTTCTTCCTCAAATAGGGATTTAGTTTCCTGATCGAGCTGGGGACGTGATGGTTTTACCGCCAGCTGTTTCCTACGTCCGTTCAGTCGTAAGCACACACGAGCCCGGACCAGTGCGTGATCGGTATCTACACACGTGTTCCAGAAGGAGCGACAATCTCCTACCGACCCACGCCAACGATAGCTTATTGCTATGTGGTCTATTTGTGTCCAGCGTTGGTTTGATGATGGGGGTCGCCAGGTTAAACAGTGTCTCTCCTTGTGTTTAAAGTTAGTGCTTACAAGAAACAAATGATTATCTGAACAGAACTGTAGGAGACGGTCACCGTTGTCGGTTCGCTGGCACGGAACTCCATAGGTGCCACCGACATCCTTCTCAGATTGACACAATTTCCCTACTTGAGCGTTAAAGTCACCAGCTAGAACGACTATATCTGAGCGTTTAGCCTTTCTCACCAAACTAGACAGCTTTTGGTAGAACTCATCCTTCGTTTCATCCGAACTGCAGTCAGTGGGGGCGTAGGCGGAGATTACGAAAAGGCATCGGCGAGTAGTGCAGTCCTTTCTCCTTCTTACTGATCCGTTCAGACGGACAGCACACATTCGGCTATCTACCGGGATCCAGTCAAGCAATGTCTTTTCTGCCCTAGTACTCAGAGCTATCCCTACGCCAGCTAATCCTCGTGAACTAGCTGTGGCATCTCCTGACACCCTCAAGGTGAATTTTGAAGATTCATCCTGTTGGCCAGGTGGGGTTAGGTGAATAACCACACTTGGGTCTTGTATGCGTGTTTCTGAAACACAACATACATCAATGGCTCGAGATGCCAGGGTCTTAGCTAGTGATGCTTGTTGTCCTATTTGGCAAAGTGTCCTAACATTAAATGCTCCTATATGAAATTGGTGGCGTGGCTTTAGGAGACTATCCGTGGTGGTTTTTTGGCTTTCGTCGTTTTTAGTGGACACAGAGTGAAGAGGGAGTGAGGAGCCATCAAGTAGAGGAGTTGCATCAGTGGAGGAAGGCAAGGTAATAGAGATGAAGATGAAGACAAAGATAAGTGAGGATTAGAGAGGTTTTGTGTGCGTTTTGGATTGTGAGGGCGATTGTTACTTCCCGGCTGCCCACACCGTGGAAGTTGGTTGCGTGACCGCAGAGCCCAGGGGACAACTGCTTGTGGCCGGTCACACGCGGCCTGTTTTTGTTCGTTCTTTGTTGTTTTGTGTGCCTCAGTAGCATACTTATCACTCCCGCCCTGTGACACGGCAGCAGGAAGCGCGGTCGTTGTTAATCCGGGCCACGGCCGATCCGGCATGAAATTTTGTGAATTTGTTTGGATCATGGTATTGGATTGGGTAGCTGCTTTTTGTTTAACCGCTATCCAAACAACCTGCCTGGCATGGTAGAACCTCAAGAGACATAAGTCTCAGCCAGTATAGCTTGATTAGGTCATTGCGGTGTTCAAGCCCGACCACCACGTCAAGGTAGCAGCTTTCGGTTGGCTTAATAACCATTTTGAAGCATGTTCTTTTCGACCACACGACATTGGAACATTCTATTGGTTCTACCCATATTTGTGTAGGTGATCACCACAACTACAGGTAAACTTGTAGATACAGTGTGAATGAAGTAGAGTTCACAGGATTTCATCCTTTATTCGTAGGTGAAGGACAGCTGTTTATGTCCTAGCTTGTGACTCTTCATCAGTACGCACCCAACGGGGTTCGAACCCAGGACCTTCTAGTTAAAAGACTAGCGAGCTGGTAGACCACTAAGCCACTGAAACCCGATCTAATGGTCCACGAGCTCGCCTTTTAACCAGAAAGTATTGGGTTCGAACCCCGGCGGATGCGTACCGCTGAAGAGTCGCAAGTTGAGACGAAACAGCTGTCCAGTACTTCCAGTTGGTTTTCTAATGGTTCTCTAGCCAATGCCAGCTCATGATGAAATCCTCCATCCAACCAAACAAATCCCTACAGAACCAATACTTGAGAGGATAGCTTTCTCTGGTACAGAATCTGTCTTTTCAAGATGTGGTCTATCCTTACTCTGACAATTGAAAAATTTTTCTGGATAACCGTTAGCTAATAAAAGTGAATGTATACGCCGAAGCTCATCCATGAATGTGTTACTCGTGCATGTATTTGGGGACCCTTGAACACAAACATTTCACTCACTAGGGAAGGTTTTCACTGGATAGGAGCAAAACTGGTGAAATTACGATATTATCCACTCCATATCTGCATACTACTGAACAGTCCCAAACCATGACGAAATAACCATCCATTACTCTATGTTTTTCGATTGTTTTCTAAACGATACCGATTTGTGATCAAACTTGAAAATAACGTCCACTGATAAAGGAGGAGAACTCACCAACAAATTTTATTTTGTCGTAAACATCAGTTGATGAGAAGCGACCCGAATTTTTAAAGTCTTCACCGCTTTCATATCCACAGCAGTGTAGCTTAAATTATTCATACAAACAGGAAGAAAGTTGTGATATACTAATTTAATAAAAAAGATAAAAGCATAAGTGTATACACATTGTTAGTAATAATAAATTATCTTTCTGTGCAGTTTTCTGAAAGTATGTAGTTCATTTTGAACGCTTCCTCCACAGTTTTGGTGATTTCAAGATACTGACCATTAATGCAGCTGAGTAGAATGTGAGCGACGCTTTATGCAGAACTCTATGTACTACTGATTGAAAAGCGTGAGTAGTCCGACATCACTTGCTAGCCATATCGAAGTGATCTAAATTAATCAGCAGTTAACTTGGTGGTGTGACGCAGGAAAAAACAGGGGGAGGGGGAGTTTAGCTATTCAGCTCCAGGAAATACGGGGTTAGCATTATCGAGCAATACTTATATTTTTAGTGAGTCTAGTAAAACAGAGCTTGTTCAATGTTAGTTAAGTCAGAAAAATATTTTTCTCTGGTGATCAGTGATCCATCTCGTCGAATATATAACTTCATGATCCGTCAAAGAATATACGCCAAATCTTCTGAATTGACATAGTGGTACTGTAGCATATCACGACTCAAGAGGACTACTTTAACTGCCATTCACAGGTGGGTTTAGTTCTTCGTACAGAGAACCACCGACTGAAGCTGAAGAACAGACTGTAACCACTGTACTGAATAGCAACGACACCATGTTATAGACTTGATGGGCGAGTGAAATTCTATACCTCATTGAATTCCAGTCCAGAGGCACAATAGCAAACGTGTGCTACTCACAACGTGAAGCTAATAATTTCGATCCTCAAATGTCGGTTCACGTGAATTTAATTCATGATAAGTTTGACCACGAGATGACATCAGTTAGAAAAAACCACTGGAAAACTGTCTTCATCTTCGGCTATGAACCCATGACCTTCCGGTTACAAGACAAGTTCGTAGACCATTGAAACACTGGGACCCGGTCCAGTAGCCCACGAATTCTCAATATATACTGAGTGAACCGGTAGGTGCGCGGGACTGAAGAGCCCAGGAATAGGAAGAAGCAGCTGTCTAGTATTTTCCGGTTTGACAATGGTCCTCTAACTGGTGTTAGGTCATGATCAGACTTGTAATTTCGATTCTCTGAAAGGAAGTGATGTTCTCTAAGCACCAAGAAGATTAGCAGTAAGAGAAATTTCGTTCTTTCGCATAAATAAATATATTTAAATCAGTTCAGTAGTTGTTTCATTTCTTGGCTATGTTAGACTACTGGTCATATTTGAGCAGATTTCTTTCTAAGTAAGCTAAGAAACAATTGACCTATGAGCAACCTAATATCAGAAAATTCTCACTTTATTGCCAATTTATGGATGACACTTTGATTCTTTGTGATAACGATTCGGATAGGAACAAAATAATAACTTAATTCAATGAAGTACATTTTGCACTGAAGTTCACGTGCAAAGAGGAATCCCAAAACACAATTAATTGCCTTCCTCGATGTCCTTCTTACAATAAAACTAGATGACAGTATACAGAGAAATTTGGATTGGATAACCACATGGACAGGACAATATACACAAATTTTTCCTCTCCAGTAGAAAAGAAATTTAGTAAGGACCCTGAGCCACATGGCTATAGTTAGAGCTATGTACTAAGAAGAGGTGACTAAAGATGAACTAAGGGTTGAAGCCTTTAAAAACATACGACTGGAATTCAAGGGTGATATACCTAGCGAAATAATCACGAAGAAGTTAAGAAAATCAATTCAAAGAACTTTTAATGTTGGCAAACTACGAGTCTTATTTTTTACACTACCGATGGTGATCTCAAATGAAAGATGAAGTGAACTAGACTAGCCACTTGTAATTGTATCTAACGTTTCAATTGCACTCATATTTTATTTGCCATTGATCTAGGAGCTTGATTTTTCGCTTTCGCTCGGGAACATTTACCAGTGTGGTTGGGTAAAGGTGTAATAAAAATCATCAACATTTCGATATTATACCATCTGGTTCAAACTGGTTGGTCGCAAAGTCAGCACTGAAGAATCCTTCTGCACTATCAGCTATCAGGTACCAAATAAATTGCCATAATCACCCAACTACCATATACTTCAAACAGCAGAGGCTATTGCGATTCGCCTAGAACAATCGGTGCTTTGTGTGCAGAAGAACTAAGTCCAGCCAGCCAATACTACTACCCTAGTCGGCTTTCAGTGGAAACTATAAATTCATGAATTTGTATTGTTATCTTTCCTAATTTCCCTGATATTCATTCAGCGCATTGTTATGCTGATGCAGTTGAGCTGTAATCTATCAATATTATTGATTCGATGTTATTTAAACAACATTAAAGTTGTTCATAACACTAATTCATTCATTCACTATCATGTTGGTATATGTAACTGTAGAACCGGATGGTGAAGAGCAGGTTATCGAAAAGAATATTCTTTGTTCAGTAAGCATTCTTTGAAAAGAAAATTGTTTAAAAATCCCACTCCCTTCAGTTCGTTGGAGTAGGGTAAGTTTGTAAACGGTAAAACTTACAACAGGCATTACAATGCCAAGAAATAGGCTACTGTCTCCTTCACTCTCCAGTGAGACATAGTTATTAACAGCATTGGACAGTTGATCTCTAATATGTCTTTTAGGCTAAAATATGGACAGAGAAATCGTAAAGTACGGTATATTTAATACGCATATATACATATATATGAATATATATATAATGTATATATATTGAAAACTGGTAGGGAGTCTTGATTAATTTAGGTCCTCTGTTTGTTGACACTCGCCAATAAGGCATATACATAACCTCATAAGGAACGTTATTAGTACCTTAACGCTAATATCAAGTCAGTTCGGTGCTACTGTATGCTTCACAGACTTGATACGCAACCAGAAGCACTTCCAACTGACTGGAGACTTTCATCAACAACTGCCTTCACTTCACACTCAAGATCACATGACCACACAAAAAAAAACAAGATGAAGTTGCGGTGACGAAACAACCGAGGATGTGTTGCCCCAAAATCTGCAGAAGGAAATGGAGATGGGCCGCACGGACACCCTGAGGAAACCGTTGAGTAACATAGTGCATCAGGTCCTCAGTAGGATCCCAGATGCGTCCGGCGGTGACACAGAGGAGATGAGTGGAGAGGAGGAGGAGGAGGAGTAGTAAGCGAAAATTTATGAGCAGAATTCCATGACCTGTGGGTTCTAACTTTCATCAGTTCGTATTGAAGGTCCTGGTTCCAGTCCCCGATGAAGTCGTCGATGGGTACTACTGAGGAGTCCTAAACTAGGACAAAGCAGCTGTCCAATACTCCCTGATATTTAGTGATTTTCCAAATGACCACTCCGCAACCAAACTGAAATCAGTTCTTTTCGCTGAAATGCACTTGATTTCTTCGGCGTTGAATAGGAACCCTACAGTATTTACTTATTTATTTCCTAAGAATGTAAATCATTCGTCGTTGGAACCAGCATTCTGACATAAAGTGACAATTTGTAAACGTATAGATTGTCAAAGGTTGTAAAAATGTCACCTTTTTGTAAAATTCACAAGCGTTACTCTTAGCGTATCGCAGAAATCTCTGACTCCAAACCGATTCAGTCAGGTGATAATTGCTGTTGTGTTAACCTTACTAGTTCAATGTTCTTCAGCACATAAACATCAAGCATACCGTCAAAATGACTACTGAATGCAGTCTTTCAGTCTGTCAAAAACATCTCACGAAATACCAAGACATGAACATAGAGTGTCAATCCCTTACCAGTGTCAGATGGATTTCCTGAGAAGGAAGCTTACCTTTAAAATCACATTTTGTCTATAAGCTTCAGGTATGCAGCTTTTATGAGAAACATTTCCAGTCATTGGAAATTCTGATCTGTTCTACTGTGTAGTTGAAAAACATTCTGTATAAATTTTATATGTAATCAGTGTTTTATATTCAACAAGTTCAGCCTTTAAAAGATCCCACCACTCGCAGTCTTGTAGTACTTTAATTGTTCAATCGATAATGGAGTCTTGAGGGACTGATGAGGGGCAAAAATTAGTACTTAATACGACTAATGTGATTATCATTTATGCCTTGCATCTTTTTTAAGCACTTTAGGATAACATTTTTGAATCAAACTTCAATATGAATAGGGAATATCATCAGACAGCATGAATTAATCCATCTTAGTTTGTTTATTAGATGTATCACACTGGATGACGAAGTTTCGAACATACATGTCAAACGTACGCAAGATAATGACAACACTAACAATAAGGAATATAAATCATCAGTAGCACTTTCATACAAGGAAGGAACCTCGGAAACCTTACGCAGAATTCTTAACAACGCAGAAATAAAAGTGGTTGACATTCAAACACCCCACAAACTCAATTAGGAACAAGCCTTGTCTGTTAAAGGATCAATTCTGTGGAGGCAATCAGACAAAATAGTTTAGTTTATCTAATACCCTGACTGCAATGATTGTCAGTTCAAATACATAGGTCAAACTAGTAAAACAGGGACAGTCAGACTGGCCGAACATAAAAACCTAGCAGCAAAATCTAGATTGGTTGACCCAAATAAGATAAGAAATCTAGAGAATAGTTCAGCTATAGCACTCACTACATGCAATTTTACACAACCGTACAGCATATTATGATGGGATAAGATGACAGTTTTGAAATCTAATGTAACTGGGTGAAAAGAGAGAGAGGTTGATAACAGAAGCTTTATTTATCGAATCAACTGCAAATACGTGTAATAGGAATGATTCAACATCTGTCCATCCAGATATCTGAAAAATTCTACTACCCCAACGACGATGGATAACAGAGAAAAAAGAAGACTATAAAACTCAATTTTCAAAGTCGTGTGATGATAATTCCTGATATGATTATGAGCAGTAATAAATTTTGTTCGAAACGTCATCCAGTGAATAGTAATACAGTTTCACTGAGTGTGTGATACATCCAATAAACAAACTAATATGGGATTACTTACTACCACAGTGCCCAGGTTTTACACATACATTAGCATGAATGACTAAAATGACGAAAAGTGAGGAATTTCATGTTCCACGGTAAACTTTCACTCTCTCAGGGTGTTCATGCTACACGAAATCCACAGGAAAGACTAAGTTTTTAGCGGACTAATGGGCTTTGGTCAGAAAGAATTTCGCGGTTAAACTAAAGAAAGCCTTTAAAAAATGTGAATCTCTAGAGATTATAATTATAATTTTAGAGATTAATAATTCTAAGTGATACATTTTGTCATGAAAATGAATCAGTTTATGAGCAAACATTAAATTTCTCAGATTGAAATAGGTATCTCGTTTTTTTAATTTAAGTAGAAATTTTGTAAGTAGTGGTTTTCAGATTTTATCATGAGCCGACACCAACCAGAGAAGTACTAGAAAAAACCAGGTAGTACTGGGAAACTATTTTGTCCTGTTGCGGGACTCTTCGAAATCAGACATACACAGGGGCTGGAACCCACTAACTCCCGGCTTCAAGGCGAGTTCGTAGATCAGTCAGCCAGTAGGATTTGATCTGACTTATGCCACTTCGTGATATGTAGCCCAATCATTAGTCAATGATATCGGCAAATAACTGTCTAGCTGCGAACTTTGTGAATAGTTCTGGTCAAACCTTATCACTAGGACAACAGTTAACTTGTTGCACAAACCCAGCTGCTAGTAAGCATCGAACTCCATTGGCCATCGGACCGAATCACATTGGCTGAAAGGTCTTCGATCTCGCCTTGTAACCGGTAACTCCTGATTTCGAGCTTCAGCGGGTGCGTACTTCTGAAGAGATTCAAACCAGGACAAAACAGACGTCCAGTACTCCTTGGTTTTCTAATGTCTTTGTGACCAATGTCACCTCGTGATTAAGAAGCATTATCTGAAGGTTTATTCCAGTAATTATTCTAATTATTGTTTACGTATGCTAACAAACGTCGACAGTGAAATCCAATACGCACATTTTGTCTCATTTAGGACTGATCACCTGGTGTGGGGTGTTCTAAATGAGGTTTGGATCCAGCACCAATGTTTATCAACAGATAAAGTGCATTTCAGTTTTGTAGAATCAATCAGTCAACGGAAAATTCAAAATAATCCCCAAGAGAGGTGATGTATATGCGGGATAAAACATAGAGAGTGGAGGCAACCTCTCCTGCCTAATATATATATATATAAAGGAATGATCAACTTACTAAATCTTTATTTCCAAAGTAGATAACAATCATAATAAACTGAAGGACAATGGCAATAATCAACACGGTCAAATACTGGAAAGTAAAGAGAAAAAACGAAGAGAATCAGTTGCATAGTGAACGAAAGACGAATATCGAGTGAATTCTAACTTCATATAATACTTGATATTATACTGTAACGACGGAAGACATGGGCCAGACAACAAACAGATCGTTTATTGAGAAAATCAACAGATATTTATATATTTTTGTATGTACATTATTGTCAGAGGAGAAGCAACCTCTTCTGATTGGTTGTTTTTTCGCTTAAGGTTATTCTGTACTGGTTGTGACCATCTCTTAGAAAGTTAAGCCATATATCAGCGAATCGTATTTGCACACGCTAAGTCTGCTGTGATTGGTTGATGAATTCCTCAAGATTAAGCTTTGTTACTTATTGTTTTTTCTTATGACCCCGATTCGCGATGTAACATTGATGTGAATTATTGTCTACAATTTCGGCTTGCAGACAGCTCTCACCACAATACGATGATAAAAATAATTAACATTAGCAACAATTTGATAGTATATATGGTTCAGAAAAGTGAGTTGATTCATTCGGATGGAGCTAGCATAGAGCTAATGCGGAACTGGATCTTAGTACGTTCCAAATGGGGTTGATGGACAGGGAATGGGAACCTTAAACCTTCTTCCCATTTAGAGATTAGAAAAACACTTTTACTGATGACTCTGATGATAACTTCTATGGGACTTCTTGTCTGACATCATTATTCAACTTCACTTGTGCATTGATTAATATTGAAAAATATGATTATTTGTCCCCACACTCGACCTGGTGGATCCTACTGACCACAACTGCTTACTAGAGCTCCGGGCATCTTTCTCATGCCAGTCGCCAGCGACAGTTAGTTTGTATAGATTTAATTTATTTCATGTTTGATGGCGAATTAACGTAAGTTAAAGAACCACTGAAGACCATAAAGTACTGGACAACCGTATTGTCCTTGATTGGTACTCATCAGTACTAGGCAGCCATAGAGATTCACGTCCATGGACTACCGGTTACAAGGTAAGCTCGTGGACCATTTTGACACTGATGTTTGCAAGTGACCGGCTACAGGACACAGTTGTTTGGAGTTCTTGTGAGAATCCATGGTCAACGCTGCTGATACTGGCTAGCGGTTGTATTAAAAACAGGAATTGGTAGAAGCTGGAATTCATGGAACATTGGACTGAATCCCAGTACAACTAAAGAAAGAGAAGTCGCCGAGAAGATCCTCTTTGTCAACCTACTTTTCTTCTTCCACTGGTGTCTGAATGGAGATTAGTCATAAATTTTAAAGAGTAAAATTACCTTGTCATCCTTCTTATGAGATTCTTCTCAATGTTTTTCAAGGCCCTATTTTGGTGTTTATTTTTTATTAATTCATGCGCACTGGTGCGTGCACGAATTATGGTTGTTTTTAGGTATTTGGATTAATTTCAATGGTCGTCACATCACGAACTAAAATCAGCTAGAGATCAGTGAGAACCAGCGAGTGAAAGGTAATTGTTTTATCCTAAACTGTAACTGTTCACCAGTGTACACTACCACCCTCCACCAGGGGTCGAGCCTGGGATTTTCAGGGTACGAGATGAAGCGTACTAACTATTCAGTCAGTTGGACCAGAATCCAGTGACCCGTAAATTATGACTTTGTCAATTTTCAGTGAACATGTACTTCACTTTGATATAGTGGATCCTACTGGTCACGATTTCTTAATATATCTTCAGGACATCCATGCATCAGTTATCGCTACCTCTCTTACGACTTTATTCGATAAACTATTTATGTTATGCTTATAAATATCGTACATTACATAAAATTTATTATTTAAATTTACACATATCAAAATGTCACTTTCATTCCCTAGCAACTAATGAATTAGGTCATAAGAAAAAGACGCAAATAGCAAAGAAAACTTTCTTTTCGACGATTCCTTTGCATAAGCTGTACAATCGTAATTACCATATTTAATAAAGAATTCGTAAGACGAACAGTCAGATAATGGTAAAATTTGTCCTCGAAAAACGTATTACGTAGTTTTCAAGTATTTGTTTTTGTAGGGATTTAGTTTGATTGATTGGAGGATTTCATCATGAGCTGACATCAGTTAGACAAACACTGGAAAACCGCCTGAGAATACTGGACAGCCAGCTATTTTGCCAGCCTAGTGTGGGACTCGTCACAGTACGCACCCACGTCCAGGGTTCGAACCCTGGACCTTCCGGTTACAAGGCTAGCGAGCTAGCTCGTAGACCATTAAGCCATTGGGACGCGATTCAGTGACCAGTCCATGAGTTCCAACTTCTGCCAATGCATGACATAGCGCGACCACTTCGCAATGTCTTCTTTGATGAGTTACTGCCTCACCTTCAATCTGCTGCACCCTACTAGTCGCGGCTTCTCGCTAGAACCCTAGGTCACTACTGCCTGAGTAGGGAGACTAACTGGAAATTGGGAAAGGAGTAGAAGTTGGCGTGACGTAACAATAGTGAGAAAATGGTCAGTCAATATAATTGTGTAAAGTGGACAAGATCTAGTAGAGAGGCGATAAAGTGTTTTTTTATAAAGTTTCACCCTACTGTGGTCAGAGTAACGTTCTCATTACAATTTTGTTTCCTTTTATTATATAAATTTAATATTATTATTATTGTTAATATTCTAATCATCCTTATTTTATTACCAATCTATTACTGTTTATTAATAACATTGCGTTTTCATACAGATCTTTTATAGAAGCACTTTATCGTCCTTCCACTAGTTCTTGTCCACTCTACACAATCGTAGTGATTAGTCATTTTCTCGCACTTATTAAATTATGCCGATTTCTGCCCTTTTCTAATTTCCAGTTAGTCTCCCTATTCAGGCAGTGATAACTTGGGGTTCTAGTGGGAAGCCGTGACCAGTAGGGTGCAGTAGGTTAAAGGAGAGGCAGTAAATCATCGAAGAAGACATTGCGAAATGGTCGCGCTATGTCATGCATTGGCAGAAGTTAGAATTCATGGACTGGTCATTGAATCGGGTCCCAGTGGCTTAATGGTCTACGAGCTCGCTAGTCTTGTAACCTAAAGGTCCCGAGTTCGAACCCCGGTGACGACGAGTCCCAAACTAGGGTGATGAAACAGTTGGCTGTACAGTACTCCCTGCAGGTTTTCCAATGGTTCTCCAACTGATGTCAGCTCATGATGAAATCCTCCAATCAATCAAGCTAAATTCCTACAAAAACTAATACTTGAAAACTACGTAATACGTTTTTCGAGGACAAATTTTACCATTATCTGATTGGTCGTCTTATGATTTCTTTTTTTAAATATGGTAATTACGACTGTACAGCAGCTTATGCAAACCAATCGTCGAAAAGAAAATTTCCTTCTATGTTGTTTACGTCTTTTTCTTATGACTCGATGTGGAAATATTTCGTTCAATGAATTAAGTATCCAACTTACTGTGATAATTAAACATTTATATAGACCAATAGCTCCGAATATTCCCAACAGAGATATTACCAGTAATAAAGTGCCCAGAATAAATATGATGTAACTGAATTTAGCTGAAAGAAAAGTTGTTCAGATGATTTGTGTTCACAAATAGATAAATAAATGTCAGTCAAAGTATATGAGTAATTTTCGTAATGGAATCATTACTGTCAAGTTAAGAGAAGTTATTAAATTACTGGCTGAAGTCTGCATTACTGATTCATATTCACCATTTTTATATTATTGTTCCTTTGGATTCCGAGTGTAACATAGGCGGCTTCAACAACACATCTCCACTTTGTCCTATTTTCTGCCTTCCTCTCCAGCTGGGCTCACAACTGCCAGTAGTTTCTCATTTCTTCCTCCTCGCCACACTATCTCCTCCATATTACCCTAGATGTGACGACTTACTTGTCGTTCCTCATTTGGATTCCATTCGTCTGATGGTATGGCATACGCAATCATTCAACGGTCTCCTCAGAGTATGCCCGATCCGTCTCCATTTTCTTCTGCATATATGTTGAGGAATCGGCTCTTGGTTGGTTTGTTCACAGTCAAAGTTTCTCGCTGTTAGTTCTTTGTGACTCATGTGAATACATGGAGGATTTCATCATGAGGTGACATCACTTACAGAACCATTGGAAAACCACATGGGAGTACTAGAGAGCTGTCCTAGCTTGGAACTCCTCATCAGTACACACCCACCGGGGTTCGAACCCGGGACTTCTGGTTACAAGGCGAACTTTTAGACCATTCATCAACCACTTGGATCCGATCCAATGGTCCTTGAATTATAACTTCTGCAAATTCACGACATAGCGTGACCATTTTGTAATGTCTCCTTCGATGAGTTACTGCCTCACCTTCAACCTGCTGCAACCTACTGGTCACGGATTCTCATGATGAAATTCTCCATGCAGTCAAACAAAATTCCCTACAGATCCAAAACTTGAAAATTCATATGAATAACTGAAAAGCACTCACTTCAAACAGTAGTGTTTATCAGTCAGTTCCTAGTGATCTAAACAGTAGGTAGACATCTCAACAGTTTGAGATAGAGTCCATCTGCTGTGTGTCTGGTTCCGGTTGTCATAGAGAGTGCACACCAGTTCAAACCATCCGATTCTGATTTCTAATCTGAGTGAAACCGGATACACCACTGATGACCCTGACCCCTAACGAGCGAAACATCTATTCGGTGTTCAGATCACTTCAATCTAGCTGGCGGTTACTACTGGTTGATGTGAGTAGTATGCCATTACTTGTCTCAGCCAATCAGTAGTATGTAGTTTTATGCAAATAGACTATATTCTTTGTTTTTTTATTTTTAAACTGTACATGAACGCTGTATGTATTCATATGTATATAACTGTGAATAAATTAGTGTTATTAACAATATTATTGTTGTCTAAATAACATGGAACCAATGATAGTATCAACAGATTACAGTTCACTAGCATCAACATAACAATACGCTGAATGAATATCAGAGAAAATAGTCTCTACTGAAGACCAGGGCGGTAGTAGTGGCTGGCTGGACCTGTTTCTTCTGCACACAGAGCACTGATTGTTTCAGGCTAATCGTGAAATCCACTGCTGTTTGAAGTATGTGGTACCTGATAGCTGATTATACAGAAGTACTCTTCAATGCTGACTTTATGGCCAGTCGGTATGGACCAGGTGGTTTAATGTTGGTCTTTTGATGGTTTTACTACACCTTTACTTAGCCACACTGGTAGATGTTCCTGAGCCCTCCACGAGTGCACTTCAGTGGTCAGATACAATTACAAGTGGCTAGTCTAGGCACTTCATCTTTCAGTTGGGGAATCACCACCGGTAATGTAGAAAATAGAACTTGTAGTTTGCCAATATTAAAAGCTCTTTGAATTGATTTTCTTGACTCATTCGTAATTATTTTACTTGGTATATCGCCTTTGAATTGCAATCGTATGTATAAAGGATTCTTGTTTACGGATAGTGAATGTTCCTTCTCAACTTTCTCAGTCATATTTTTCTTGTTGAATTTGTCTGGATAACTATTTTCAATCAAGGCATCATATGCAATCCTTATTTCATCTTCAGTCACCTCTTCTGAGCATATAGCTCTAACTATAACCCTATGTATTAGGGTCCTTATTAAACTACTTTCGTACTGGTGAGGAACGAGGCTTTGAAAATCTGTGTATATTGTCCTGTCCATGTGTTTGTCCTATGGAAATTTCTCTTTATACTGCCATCTACTTTACTTGTCAGGAGGACATCCAGGAAGGCAATTAATCCTGTTTTTGGATTGCTCTTCGCACTTGAATTTCACAGTAGAATGTACTTCATTGAATTCAGTCATTATTGTGTTCCTTTCCATATCATTATCACAAAGAATCAAGGTGTCATCCACATACCGGCGATAAGATAAGAATTTTCTCATAGGGAGTTGATCAAAGGTCAATCGATTTTTAGTTAACTTAGAAAGAAATCTGCTCAAATGTGACCCATAGTCGAATACAGTCAAGAAATGAAGCAACTACTGAACTGATTTTAATATATTTATTTATGTGAAAGAACGAAATTTATTTTACTGCTAATTTTCTTGGTGCTTGGAGAACATCACTTTTCCCCAAAGAATAGAAATTACAATCAGTTAAGGAACCATTGAGAAACCAGATAACACTTTTTAGCCGCTTCTTGCTATTCCGAGATTCTTCAGCACCACACACCCACCGAGGTTGCGCAATATATATATTGAGATTTGGGTCCCAATGGCTAAATAGTCTACGAGCTCGCCTTGTAACCGCAAGGTGATGGGTTCAAGACCGAAAATGAGAATGATTTTCCAGTGGTTTTCTAACTGGTGTCAGCCACACTAGACAAAATGAATTCACCTGAATATCCTACCAGACCGGAAAGGTCGTTTGAATAGCGGTTAAATTAAAAGCAATTAACATCGTTGTGTAAGTCTTTTACACCATCTTGGAAGTTTAGCAGCAAATTTGCATTATTAGGGAACAGGAATGTAATCGTGACAAAGTGTTGATCTCAGACGACCACTTTTATGCACCCTCTCAACTTTGGGGAGGAAAGTTAGGAAGGATTTTGACTCATAAACTGCATGATTCACCTTATCCTATGGCCTATTAACAACGAAATATCGTGTTATTATCTACCAAATATCATGTTAGTCATAAAGCATAATAAAAGTGCTGGTATCAACAGCTGACATGCCATCATAGACGGAGTGTTTTGGTATGATGAAAGCAGTTAGCGGAAAATTCAAAATAAACATTTCAACAAACAACCTTACAGCACTATAACCTATTCAGTGATGAACTGAACACTTCATTGTTTCTGAAGAAAAATGTCTTGGCTGAAGGTGTTGCTTCATATACAGCAAATCAGCATAAATTAGATTTCATGGTCTGTTTCATCCTAATACCCTCGTAATAGTAATGTCATTGGCTCGATCTCCGACAGACCCACGGGTACTTAGAATAAGACCTAAATACCTGTCTATTACTCCATGGCTTCCCATGGCTCTTTAATTAATGTCGGTTCATGATGAAACCTAATCTTGGAAGCACTCACATCCCTGCAAACCAATACTGGAAAATAACAATCGTTCATTACACATCATATTAGTGAAATGGTCAGAAAGTAAGTGGAACTTACAAGTAAAGTTTATGATGTACTTTGCTAGATTGTCCAGATAACTTTGATCAATTTTGACATGTTGTTGAAGAAGTTGAACAAAACCGGAGACAATTTTTAAGCCTGTTGGTTTAGACCAAGTGAACAGTGCACCGATAACAACGTATACTAGGGAGAAAAGCTTAGACAATAAATGAAGGGTAAAATTTGTAAACTCATTAGTTTGATGTGTTATATGATTTGAATATATGGAAAAGTAATTATTCGTTATACTGATAGGGTTGTAATTCAGCAAAATAGGTCCGATTTTCTGTACATTTTTCTTCTTTGCGTTCAAAGCGGAACATATGGTTTCAAGCTTAAGCCTTGAAGTTTCGGTAGCATTAGATTTACTTTAAAATGTTGGGTTCCCTAGCCTCACGCCCAGCGTCCACTCTTCGACAGGCTTACCAACATCTTAAATAGGTTTAGGAGTGTTACAACCGGGGGTCTTATCGCAGATGACATGCATGGCTGGCAATCACTCTGCAGAGGAACCAAAAATGCAAAAGTTACATAGGCATTATCAACTCATAAAATAGCAGTCTGTATAGATCTACGGGTGCTAGGAAGCTACTATTGTAATACGCACACGCACAAGACGACGAACCTCGTCCATCAGGACGACACCGGATGTGCTTTATAGTAGATTGGTGATTATTGGTAATCGGGAGTTAGCGGTTTTCTATTCAGTTGTTTTGTCAGTTATGTATTCCCCTATATCAGTCAGAAATTCATTGAAAACCGTAGAGCATTGGACAGTAGTTTCGTTCTGGCTTGCGACTCTTCAAGCAGTGATATATGAATTATAGTTTCTGACAATTCCTTACATAGGGCCATCACCAACTAATGTCACGGGCTGGGAGTTCTCTACATCTCAACGTACTGGAGGTTATTGACCGCTTCTTCTTGGAATTCTAGAATAAACATCCAGTACTCACTGGTGAACACAGATACTGCCAGTTAGAAAATTTTGATTCGGTTGAACAAACATTCAGCTTACTTCATCTGAACACACACTAAAGTAATTGAAATGAATCTACTGCTTCACAACTCGCTATACAAATTTGATTACGTAATACTGAAATGCGGATAAGGTGTTAGCAGTTCAGGTTACCAACACACTTCATAGAAATAAAATAAGGGCAGAAACCAAAAAATTCACATGTGAGAGGGTAACTACATGATGAAAGCCAATGACTTTGCGACTCTAAATGATTAAATAGAATGAATTCATCTGAAGCGTTGAAAATGATTTCGAGCCATTTGGGTAATTTTGTGGTGGAATCCTCGCCAACTATTCAAGTAGTTCTTGTTTGTATCACAGAGAATGCACTTCCAAAACTTGGCCTAGTTTACTAGCGTATTGCAAGCCCGCACAAAGATGGAGTATTGGGCCTGAGGCTAGTGATTCATTTAGTATACAAAACAACACCACCACTATGGGAACTTCAAAGGTTGGAGCCCTGTTTCCACCTCGGAACGCAAAGAATGAAGAGAGAGGCGGTCTCTAGCCACTGGCTCCGAGCGTCTCTAGTTCTACACCCAGGTAGTCGACTCTAGCTAACTTGTCTTACGTAAACAGTCAGTGACTTCATAGGGAAAAACAACAACGTGTGTAGTACGTCTCCTCGCTGTCTCAGTCGATTCAACTTCACAGTCGTATCGGTTGATTTACTGTCCTTATGATGAGAGCTGTCTGCTAGCCAAAAGCGGTAGACAGCAGTTTACGTCAATGTTTACCTCCCATATCTTGGTCATGAGAGAAAAACAAGAACAATGACTAATTAAACTACTAATCACAGCAGATTTTGAGTAGGCGGATACGATTTGCAGATATATGGTCTGACCTTCAGAGAAACAGCCACGAAGAGATGACAGAATAACTTTCAGCGAGAAAACAACCAAACAAAAGAGGGCGTTTCTTTGTTAATAATAACAAATAATAATGCACACAAAAAATATATATCTGTTGATTTACTCAATAAACGATCTGTAACCTTGTTTTCTGTCGTTACTTTCTTACCCAGCTGAAGTGAGTCGGTGGCACAGCAGTAGAATGCTCTTAGACCACGCATTTGGTCCGGGGTCCGATCCTCGACCGACGCACTCCTTTACCTCGCTAAACCAGTAGTAAGTATAGTAAAGAGAAAAGTCTAGGCATTAGGCTAGCCACCTCATCCTGTAAAAATAAACACCACTACAGAAACTCCAAGTATCTAGCTTGAAGTCCCCCTATGTTCTACTGGGAATATGAAGGAATGAAAAAACCCAGCTAACAATTTATGATTAACTTCATTACTGCTGGCTACATTTTACCAGTTAATGTACACATAAGCTGTTTTCCTAACAGCTAATATAAAACACAGGGAATTCAGTCACACCTTCAGAAGTATTCAAGCTATCTACACGAATAGTTTTAGACCGAACTTACCAGTAGTAGGGTGTTCACGAAAATCATTATTAGCTGACAGGGAAACTTCATTTCAAAAAGTCACTGTATAATGTAATAAACTGTTAAAGAAAAAAACAAAAAAAGGAGGAACAATTCATAGAAACATTCTGTTAAAATGAAAAAAATTAAACAAATCTAATTTCTAAATATTCCTACATCATGAATTAATAATCCATATGAATTAAACAACACAAGTAGACAAAAGAAGCGCTGAAGGCATGACTTCAAGTGGAAATTCAATTAACAAGATAGAACGCTAAAAAGATCCATCTACAGAAAGCCAACATTGAACGGAAAACCCACTAATTTTCATAGTCGAGTGCCTCTGTATGATTATTATAATATTATTGTTCCCTTGGGTTCCAAGTGGAACATAGGGCTTCAACTGCACATCTCCACTTGATTCTGTCTTCTGCTGTCCATTTCATCTGCATACATGTTAGTCCATACTCTTTCAACTCCTCTTCACACGATCTCCTCCATGTCACCCTCGCACTGACGTCCCACTCGCCACTTCCCTTTCGGGTTCCACTCGAGGGCTTGACGCGCGATGTTACCCAGCGGTCTCCTCAGTCTTCTCAAAGTCTATAAAGTTGAGGTAGAGGTTTGATTGCCATTCCATGCTTTGTTCGATGATGATGAGTAGAGTTGCAATTTGGTCGGAACATGATTTGCCTTTCCTGAATCCAGCTTTTTCTGGTCGGAGTTCTGCATGCAGTGCGTCTTTTATTCTCTCCAGGATGATGCGACTCAGAATTTTACTTGGCGTCGACAGGAGCATGATTCCTCTCCAGGTCTTGCAAAGTCGTAAGTCGCCCTTCTTTGATAGTTGCACGAGGTAACCTTTCTTCCAGTCAGTAGGCACCTTTCTCTCCTTCTAGACCTTTTGCAATAATGGAGTCAGGATATTTGCTGTAGTCTCTGGGTCCGCTTTCAGTGCTTCAGGGGGTATTACATCTGGTCCAACTGCTTTTCCAGCTTTCAGAAGCTTGATTGCGTTCAAGACTTCAGCTCTCGTTGGAGGATCAGTGTTCACTGACAGTCAGTTCTGTGCGTGCTGTTGGTGATGGTGCATTTCTGGACGAGTTGTAGGTGATGGTCACGTCAAGAGTCCTTTAAAGTGATCAGCTCATTGTTTGATTTGTTTCACCCCCTTGGTGATCAGGTTCCCTCGAGCACCTTTTATTGATTTCATCATCTGGGTTGGCCTCTTCCCAGATCGAGACTTGGTTATGTCATATAATATCCTTAGGTCTCTTTTACCTGCTGCTTTTTCAGCTTCAGTGGCCAGATTGTCGTAGAAACGTACTTCTGGGGATCAGTGCCTCTGTATACTAAACGAAAATTGATCCCTTCATTGAGCCGCAAAAATCTGCAGCACTTACAGATCTGACAATATGGAAGAAGAACTGAAAACTCTGAAAAGGGTTTTCCTTGGAAACGGCTACCTAGAACGTTTCATCACAAAATTCAAGAAGCTGAAACCAATAAAACTACCCACATCTACTGCTCCTGAAAGACTTCTCTACGCGAATCTACAATAATGAGAAATCTTCTATACCATTCATTGAAGAAAATCATCTTCTCAGCAGAACTTCGACTAACTTTCTCCACAAAACCAATGACTCGCATGAAAGTAAAGGCTAAGGCAACACTGTTTGTTTCCTCAATGTGTATTTATCAATTCGCCCGCTTATTTGGAACTAGGTATTTTAGCCGTAGCCAGTGTCTGCTATCCAAACATATGATTGAACACTTACCCACGATCATGGTTTTATTAAAGGAGAACGCCTTATCCTGGAACACCTAATAGAATCTGGACTCCAGACTAACCTGGAAGCCAACTTCAAAGTCATCTAGAGAATACTTGTGAATCTCACAAAAAAAGAGTACTAATCAAACTTCTTCACACCACAGAAATAGTGTTGTCAGTGCACATTTCAAATCCTGCATTCTGCACACGGATGAAGTGTTTTTAGTCCCTAGGTCTACAATGGACCTGCTCTGTCTTCACAATGGGTAAGAAATCTTGGTTTTTTGTTTCTTAATTGTATTGTCTTCTTCCCTCACGCTCTACTGAATTTCTACCACTTATTACCTCCCCTGTGTTGTTAACTTGACCCTCGATCAATTTTAGTTCAATTCTCCTCAGTCTCATCAGTTATATTACGTTATTTAACTTACTTATTGAATTTTATTCTAGTTTCTACCTGATTACCGCTTTGTTATATTGCGTAATTTGTGATCTTAAATAAATTTGCAATTCTAAAAACGCATTTTTTGGAATATTCATTTTTTTTTTGCCAAGAAAATTTATTATGTAGCATGTGATTGTACATCTTAAGAATGATATCGCTGAGAAGAGTGACTCTTTGCTGAGGGTCTTTTCGTTTCTGAATGACTCAATGGGGAGTAATAAGTTACCTTTCATATAAAGAAGGTAGAGTAGATGAGGATGCAGCAGGTCAGGTGTGGGGACAAATACTCGCCAGCGATGACATTGGCTAGTGTGAATCGCGCTATGTCGTGAATCGGTAGAAGTTGGAATTCATAGACTGGCCATTGGATTGAGTCACAGGGGCATAATAGTCTGCTAGGTCGCCATGTGACCAGAACGTCCCGAGTTCGACCCTTGGTGGTAGGTGCGTACTGATGAAGAGTCCAAAACTAGGCTGACGAAACAGCTGGCTGTCCAGTACACCTAGGTGGTTCTCCAGTGGCTCCCTGACCAACGTCAGCTCATAATGAAATCCAGGAAGCTTTAATGACTACCAATAGGATTTAAAAGTGTGAAATATTCCCATATCACGTGAATTAAGAGTCAATCTGAACAAAGAATATTCTTCATTATAATAAAGGTTTTTGTGTTTCCCGATGAATTAAAAACAAAACAATATTTTTTTTACTGACGTTTCTCCATTTAGTGCTGCTAATAGCTTTATCAATGTATTATTAAAGAATATTCTTTTCAATAATTTCTATTATTCAGGTTCTTACAATTAGAAAATGATAATATTTGTTGTCGTTACAATAATGATAGCCAGTTAGTTAGGCGGCGGATATACTTTTTTTTAACGTGGAATAACAGATCAGTTATCACAGAGTGTCAAAATAAATAGTCGTATTTGTGTGACAAACGTACTAGTTGGCTGAAATCGATTACAAACTATTGTCAAACAAAAGACAATGGTGGTGATTAGTTAGTCATAACAGATTCATACAATGTGGGGTGGGAAAATTGACAAGTCAGTTCAAGGTTATAAAAGGTGTCAGGTGAGTGAATGGCTAGCACAAAGTAGTATGAATTAAAAAGGAAGAGATAGTAAGACTGCAATGACAGGTTCATCATGAAATAACCAATATACCAATATATAGGTCGGTGGCACAGTGGTTAGGACTCTCGGCGACCATGCACATGGTCCGAGGTTCGAGCCCACGCCGACGCACACCTGATATCTATGGTCGGTCTGCGAAATTTGGGCTACCGATATCCACGCTGAAAATTCCATACTTGTACCAAAAATACAGTGTGGAATCAAGCTGTAATCAAAAATTAAAAGACAAAAAATTAAATTAAAAATTATATGTAATGAAACAGGTGGAGGCATATATTGAGAAAAGAGATAATATCACTTATAATAAGTCCGGATAATTTAAAGTGGAAAATTCGATAGTATTGAGAGAATGTTTGCATAAAAGGTATAAATTATGACGACTAATAATAACTGTAATAATAAGCAAAGCGTAAACAAGAAAGAAAATGCAAGAGGGTTAAGGAGAAGAAGCACTCTTGGTGAGAAGAAGAATCATTAATCCAAGTTTGGCCACGGTAGGGACACCGTCTGGATATGTTCATTTTGCAGTTTAGTCGATCTTATTACAACAGCTTCAGCTGTATATAGGAGACGTAAGCGACTTGTCAACTTTCCTACCTCATATTGTATGAATCTATTATGACTAATCACCACCATCATTATCTCCCATTTTACAATAGTTTGTAATCGATTTCAGCCCAGACCATGTTTGTCACACAAATACGACTATTTATTTTGACACTCTGTGATAACTGATCTGTTATTCTACGTTAAAAAAAATATATCCGCCGCCTAACTAACTGGCTATCATTATTGTAACGACAACAAATATTATCATTTTCTGATTGTAAGAACCTGAAGAGGAGAAATTATTGAAAAGAATATTCTTCTTCGTTCAGATTGACTTTTAATTCACTGTTAATAGGATATATCTAAATAAATTCATCTCCTTCGCTTACTTAGGTAGTGTTGTAAGAACTACAAGCAGACGGCAAGGATAAGAATGCCGAAACGAGAATGAGATTTGGAAAGAAAGACGGGCGTTCATTAATCTGAAATCACTGTGAATATATACAGTAATCATAACAAGGAACGAAATGCTTATTATTCTGCTTAACTTCAATGTCAAGTCAGTCAATACTTCGAATATGATCCAGAGACTTAGCTACAGCTTCACTAACTGATGTGGACTTTCATCAACAGCTGTCCACATCTGAGGATTCTGAAGATAAGATGGCCGACTATAAAGGATAAAGAGGAACTCCAACAGGCAGCAAACTAACCAAGAGTATATTCCCCAATAAATATGCAGAAACAAATAAATGTGAATTAGAAATATACTGAAGAGACCCTTTTAAGTGACGTCATGCTCTAGAGTTGAGATTGCAAAGGTGACATGAAGGCGTTGGTGTGAGGAGGAAATGAAAGCTTATGGACAATCATGGGAGCTGCTAAAAGAGACTGAGGTGAACAAGGCGACGTGGCAATATGCGGCTGAAGGTCTATATCACACGATGTCATTTGGTTAACCCTTAATTTAAGGATAAAAGTTGGGCTATGTGGTAAAGTAGAATTCCATTATGGAGAAAATCTTATTTTGATAAGGTCACTCAGTGTTACACAGGAATTAGGCTGGTATTCGAAACTAAAATCTCACTCAGGTAGGAAAAGCTCTGTAGGTCATAGGATCCAATGAACACAATTAAACAAATTAATATAATTTTACAAAATACCTTCAAATGACT